TGGTTTGGACTTATGCTTATTATTAGGCATAAGAACTGCGTTAAGTTGCGTTGACATATCACCAAGTGTCATGCGAATCGCTGTGCATGGAACCAGTCAATGTGATGCACGCGGTAATGCGATCGTTCGTATAATACTCTATGAATAAACGATCTTCTCACAACCACACTAATAATTTTTCGAACAATTGTTACACATTCTTAATATGAAGCGTTTGAAGACCAGCAAATTCGAAATCGTCAGATAAACGTTAGCGAATATGATTCGAACCGCTACTGCCGCAGTAGTTAATCTGTATATTCCTTATTCGCAACTTCCTGGGGATTTTTTTTCGTTTTCTAACCGGTAGATAAACCTCGTTTACGTTTGTTGACGAGTGTTTATACTATCTTTGTCAAAACTCAAGGTCGCACAACAGTATAACGTCAAACGAATGATCAGAAAAAAGATAAATCAAAGTATCTCATGCGACGGCTTGGTAATAGACTAACAACTCGAACTCAGGATGGTGCTTGAGACTTTGCTCAAACTCGCCCAGAATTGCGTCTAGTCTAGACCGAAAGCCCAAACCGAATCATCCAATTTTAGAGCTGAAGTTTTTAATGCCATTGAAGTTTCAGGAGTTATTGATTTCTGATTGTGAGTATTTTTGCAAAAATGTCTGACTCTTCATCTGAAGATGAAATTGAAACACATATCCGCTCGAAGAAAGCGCAACTGGGCGAGAATGGTGATCAGAAGAATGGTGTGTCTAAAGAAGGTACTGCTGAAAATGANACTTATCTATTCAGTAGGATAATTAAGCAAGTCAATCTCTCTGGGTTCGCTAAGTGAATACCGAAACAAGATTGATGAAGTACGGATGCTTTCGTAAGCTGTAGAATTTATAAAATGAAAGATAACCAACAAAGTAGAATTCGATATTGAGTGAAGAAGAGCAATATTGTTCGTAACGAATTGGTAATTGAATTAATAAATGTTCATTATACTTATTTACCTCCCTGGTATCAGTGTACCCTATTTCGTCTTTGTTAATGTCGAAATGTTGCTGCTTCAATGAATAACAGCCATGTGGAATCTCTCTTCCACTCACCGTGCAGTAATAAACTAGAAGGAACCTTGATTATTCTTTAGCTCTGAACCAAAAAACGATTGCAAACTTCGGAGGAGTTTGATTTATAGCAGTTGGTAAAGCCACTTCCCAAACGGGATTATGATTAGGAGATAAATCTGTTTATTTCTCAATTTATCTCAACTCAATTTGTTTTTTGTGTTCGAATTTTTGATGTTAATGTGTCGAACAATTTACTATTTTCTTCTCGAAGCTTAACTCGATTATGTTATGATTGTTTGTTCGAATGATGAAGGGTGTAATGTTGAAGGGTGTTCGTGATGTTCTCTGTGAAACGTGTAGTCGACTCGGTTGGAAAACAGCAACAAAAGTTCAGTGTGAAGCGATACCTCTAGCACTTGCGGGCAGGGATGTGATCGGTCTCGCTGAAACCGGGTTTGTCATTCAGTATGATTGGACATTGTCCTATTTGTATAGTGTTAACTGTAACCGTATTAGTAGTCAAAATAATATTTATTCATCGTTCTGAGCACGAAATCCGTAAACAAATCAGCCTTGATTCCGCGTGAATGGACGAAAAAGCAGTTCAAAGCGGTTCAAATATAAAATCAAGCCAAAAAAATCTCTCCAGTTCTATTCCTAGTGCATAACTGTCCTATATGTATAATATGGGATTTGTTTTCAGATCAGGTAAAACAGCGGCATTCGCACTACCAATATTACAAGCATTGCTTGATTCTCCCCAAAAGCTATTTGCATTAGTGTTAACACCAACACGCGAGTTGGCCTTTCAAATTGCCGAGCAATTCGATGCACTCGGCTCGTCAATCGGACTTCTTGTTGGTCTGTTTGTGTTACATTCACTTGCATTCTCTTATTCCTGAAGCATGCGAAATTTCCGTTTGAGATTACATTGTTGGTGCTTTCTTTGCCAATTCACGTGTGGATTACCTGTAGTGTAGTATTCGAGTAGGTGTAGAAGCACATACGATGAATTTGAAACCTGTCTTAAATCTGG